TTATTATCATTATCTAAATATGCTAATAAAATATTCCAAAATTCATGATGAACTTTTTCAATTTGATCAAATAAAATAATAGTATAAGGTTTTTGTTGAATAATTTTTATTAATTTATTTTGTTCAGGATCAACCATATCTACAAATAAATAAAAAAGTAAATTATTCAAATAAGAAACAAAAGTTTACCTTTTCCTCTTGGTATATTAATTAATTTATATATTGAATTAGCTTCAGTATATTTACTCATACCGATAGTATATATTGATTGTTCTGAATAATACAATGCTAATGCTACTGCTCGGGCTAATGTTTTTCTACCAACACCAATTGGGCCTAGACAAATATATAAAATAATTAAGAGCCATTCCATATAAGCCACGACCGACTTCATAGAGACCCAGCTCAATCGATGTCGCCAGATTTTGCTCAATTTAAGATATATTATAGAGGGAGGAGTTTTATGAATTCTGACGCAAGTCGATTTAAAAAATATTGAACCCTCGATTTTTTATGAGCATTTTACGAAAAGACCTAAAAATGATCTTATATATAAGTAGGGGTCCTAATGCGACGATATCTCACGAATGGCTCAACCCAATGAGCTGAAAATTTTTATTACCATATATCTCAATGAGTTTTACTTACCATAAAATTTTCGTTTTAAAATATTGAGTCATTGGAATTTTATGAAGGACTCAATATACGAAAAAAGGTCTATTTATGGTAACTTTGGCGCTTCATAACTTTTGGTAGGAATGATATATGACTCTGAAATTTTTACTCTTAATAGGACACTGAGAGATGTATCTCTCCTGAAAATTTTAGCTATCCATACTGTTCTATTTGCTCAGGGCAGCCCCGTGAAAAACAAAATTTTGATAAATATGGGGACTTTCAGTATAGGCTTTCTCCCAAGATATGAATTGTCTGGGGTGTTGGTTATTAGAACCTTGAAATACTCTCTTTGGGCTACAACTCTGTAAAAAAATTAGCGTGGGATCTCTAAGAATGGTCCCAGAGCTCTCATTGCAAAATACGAAAAAATGAGCATTTTCTATGGGAAATCTACTGGAATGCACTTCAAAATTCCTCCAAGGATTCTACTACGTGATATAAATTTTATGTAGCAAAAATCAGCGTTTAATTCTCTATTACCCTGTATTGAAATATCCTTACAAAGTCAAAAAAAAATTTTTTTCGAAAAATTCCCCTGGGGGGGTACAGGTTCTATGAGAATAAGATGTTACAGGAAGAGGCCTGGAGGGTAGTAGAGGAGTTTTTTGTAAAAAATTTTTCTTTCATTTTGAAACGATATTTTCATACAGGGTAATAGAGAATTAAATGTTGATTTTTACTACATAAAATTTATATCACGTAGTAGAATCCTTGGACGAATTTTGAAGTGCACTTGAGTGAATTTCGTATACAAAAAGGCTCATTTTTTCCTATTTTGCAATAAGTGCCCTGGGGCCATTCTTGGAGATCCCACGCTAATTTTTTTACAGAGTTGTAGCCCAAAGAGAGTATTTCGAGGTTCTAATAACCAACGCCCCAGACAATCCATATCTTGGGAGAAAGCCTATACTGAAAGTCCCCATATTTATCAAAATTTTGTTTTTCACGGGGCTGCCCTGAGCAAATAGAACAGTATGGATAGCTAAAATTTTCAGGAGAGATACATCTCTCAGTGTTCTATTAAGAGTAAGAATTTCAGAGTCATATATCATTCCTATCAAAAGTTATGAAACGCCAAAGTTACCGAAAATGGACCTTTTTTCATATATTGTGTGCTTCATAAAATCCCAGTCGCTCAATATTTTAAAGAGAAAACTTTATGGTAAATAGAATTCACTAAGATGTATGGCAATAAAAAATTTCAGCTGATTTGCTTGAGCCATTCGTGAGATATCGTTGCATTAGGACCCCACATTTATATATAAGGTCATTTTTAGGTCTTTTCGTAAAATGCTCATAAAAAACAGAGGGATCAATATTTTTTGAATCGGCTTGCGTCAAAATTCATAAAACTCTTCCCTCTACAACATATCTTAAATTGAGCAAGTTCTGATGGTATCGATTGAGCAACTTCGGTCGTGGCTTACATGGACTGGCTCTTAAAACAATTATTCGTGAAATTTATGTTTATTTACCACAGAATAAAAATGAAGCAAGTGGTCGATTTTTTACTGGAAATTCAGCTCGATTTCTTAAAATAGTTTCAACAACAGTGTCAATAGCAGCATCTTGATCAATAAATCTATTATGTAAATCTTCACGTATTATAGATAAACGATTATTTTCTGCTTCAGTTAATGTCGATACTGGAATATCAGTCAATTTACTAACTAAAGATCAACAAGAATAAATATATTTGAATAAATGAAACATTTACAGATATCAATAATAACAGTAGAATCAACACCTTTTGGAATTTCATGTTTTAATGTAAATGTTTTTGATTTTTCTTTAACTTCAGTTAAATCTATTTCTGATGTATCATCTTTTGTTGCTGTATCTTCTTTTTCTGATGCATCACCATTTTCTGATGTATGTTCTTCTGTTGACGTATCATCTTTTTCTTTTGATGATGTTGTTTCTGTCACGTCTGATGATAATTCTTCATGTTTTGATCGATCAATTATATTAGATGAACTATCCATTCGAGCACGGAATATGTTTCTACATGCTCCATAAATTGTATCTTTAATAAAGAAAAGAGAAAGTTTTAATTTATGAATTTTAAAAATATTTACCAATTGCTTCATATGGTAAATATTTATATATTATAAAATGATTAGATAATTCAACAGCACTAACAATGGCTGAATCAAGAATTGGAACTAAATAGAAGAATATAAATGTAAAAAAACATAAAATCGAATAAATAAATCATACAACGAAAATGTGGTTCCATAGAACGTTTAAGACCATCACGCAAAATATTAACAGATTCAGCAACTGTTAATTCTTCAATGAAAACTTCTTGAAAATGTTTTTTCAATACTGGATCTTGTTCAAAATGTTTGTCATATTCATCCAACGTTGTTGCACCAATACAACAAATTTCATGTTGAGCTTTAAACATGTATTTTTTATTAAATTATCAAAACAATAATAATATACATACATAACATGAATTTTAATAAATTTGCTGCATCATTTACACCTAAAAATACAATTCCTTAAAGATATTTTTCTTTCAACAATTTAAAGTTTGTTTTTACCTTCACCACCAAGAATTAAATGTATATCATCAATAAATATGATAATACCACCATCTGCAGTTCGAATTTGTTTTAAAAATAATTTAAGACGTTTTTCAAATTCACCACGATTAGCTATATCAGCTAAAATACATCAAATTAAATAAACAAATATTATATTTATATGATTTTAATTTTAAAATTTTTATTTAATTAATATTATAAAAAGTGAAGATTTTTATAATTCTTTCCAAAATAGTATTCATCTATAAAGTATAAGATAAAACTTACCATTTAATTCTTCCATGTTTAATACTATTAAACGTTTAGGTAATGTTTTTACACTATTCAATTTATGATAAATACATTTTGCTAAATCTTCAATAATAGTTAATGATGAAACATACTATTTAGAAAACACATAATCATTTATAAAAAGAAAATTCAAATAATATTCTTACTGGATGATTAATTAAAATACAATTATGTTTTTCAAATAATGCATCAATAATTCGTTTAATTGCTGAATGATAACCAAAAACTAAAATAAATAAATAAATAAATAAATTTATCATTTTTTAATAAATATTTTCATACAATTAGGACGACGAAGTTTTTCTTCATGAGCATCAGCTATTAAATCATGACCATATTTTTGTAAATATTCACAATTCTAAATAAATCGAATAACGTTAATACTCGTGGAATAGAACAAGTAAAAATTCAATTGAATTATGTTTTTGAATGCATCACTAGATGATACTAGATTATGTGCAATTATAAAAAATGATATTCGAGAGATTTGTTAGTCATTCATCTATATTTTGAGGATATACATGCATACAGAATGGAAACAATATTATTTGTTATCAAATATTTTTCAACAATATTTATTTAAATAGTTATATAATCTATTAGAAAATAAAAGGCTGATAAGTGAAGCATCAGTCCTTCAAATAATTAATATATGATTTAGCTATAGAATTCCTATACGATCCTGTCGAATTCTGCACTTTTTGAGATCATCCAACAGTCAAATCCAACAATCGAAGATTATCAAATCCCACATATGACAATTCTCGACATGAAGTTGTCGGAATGTCTAGGATCTTCTGTAGAATCCGACAATCGGATTGTTCGTTCGGGGACATTTATTATATTCTCGTTCTTAATCATGTAGTCAAAAATAATATGTAAGAAAAAGATCAGATTTCTTACTATATGATTTAAAATATATTGAATATGTTGAAGATATTGTAATGATGACTTCATATCTTGAACTTCTAAAACAAATACTATTATTCAATAAGAACCAAATTAATAAATACAGACTGATAATGCCAGAATCAATTTTTGTATATATATAATCTAAAACATCAAAATTGAAATAGTTAATGTTATCAATAGAATATGAATTATATAAATCGACCAATTGATTCAGTTAAGCGGTAATGTCATTATAGAAAAGAGAGGAGTTATTTCAATCTTAAGCTGAAAATTAACCCTATGCTCAAATTAGTTCTTCAACTATAATCCAGAGGGGAAGAATTTATCGCTAAAATACTGATGTTTGCGCGAATGGAGAAATTTTTGAAAAAATTTCTTCAACTAAAAGAATAACAAAACACATTTTTATCCCATAATGCTCGAAAAATTTTCTCAGAAAAAATAAAATTTCGTCGAGCATATATACTTCTTCAAAAAACATATATAATTTAATCCATCATACTCACCCAAAGCTTTAGCTAAACTAGTTGCATCAAATGGATTTATACGAAATTGATATTGTTCTAATTCGATTTCGTTCAATTGCAGTTCCCATAAAAGATTTTCACGAAAACCTGGTTTGAAATTGATAAAAGTTTTAGCAAATGTAAATTCAGATACATATCCCACCCATTCGATGCCGATTTCAAGGTCTTTCAAAATGCAGTTGTATTCCAACCACAAAGCTGGAGGTTCATCAATTTTCTTATTTGCAGGTTCTATATAAAAAAAATTCCTTGTAAATCGACATGTCATGTTCCTGATTTAAAAATGAATTTCTATTTAATATCAACAAATGTTTCTAATATAAAAATGAATTTCTATTTAATATTAACATATGTTCCTCCTATACAAATGAATTTAGTTTTAATATCAACCAATGTTCCTGATATAAAAATGCATGTTTATTTAATATCAATATATGTTTCTCATATAAAAATGAATTTATATTCAATATCAATGTATATTTCTGGTATAAAAATTAATTTATATTTGATATGAAAATATGTTCCCGATATAAAGATTAAATCATTTTTAATATAACAATGTGCAGCTGATATAAACATTAATATTTTTTTTCAATATTAAATGTGATTCTGGTTTAGAAATTAATTGAGTTATGGCATTAAACTATGCAATTGATTTTAGAATTAAATAATGTTTAATATTAGAATATATTCTTGATGTTCAAATTCATTAATTTGTTATTGTGAAATTAATTTATTAATAGTTATAGAAGAAGAGGATGAGGGTGAATTTAGTTCTGGTTCAATTGTAGAACAATGTTAAGATGTTTATATTAATTTCATATTTTTTATAATTAATTTATATCTATTCGTGTTAACATTTATTCTTTTTGCGTGAGTTTTGGTTAAGAAGAATAAAGAAAATATTTTTTGACTTACGTTGATCGTCCTCGTCGTCATTGTCACATGACATGAGGTATGTGATGGGTGGAATAACATTAATTTTTCCTTTCAATTCATGATAGAGATGTTTTGATAGTTTGTCATCAGCGTCAAAAAGTTTTTCGATGTTGGTGGTGCTGTTATTCAATAGCAACAAACTATTTCTGACTTGGTTGATTCCTTCATCTACACCACCAGCTACCAGCACTGTGTTTATTTTTGTTTTCAAAATATTCAGTTGTTCCTCTTGATTTAATTTATTGTAATCTGCAATTTTGTCAACAATATGTTTTATAATTTCAGAAAGTGCTTCTTCAGTTGTAAGTGTTGATAATGGTTCATAATCTCTTGATGAATGTGATAAATAAGCAAATGCATCATCTTTATATTGACCATCAATTAAAATAACATGACAGCTGGAAATGGATTGTGTTGCAATTTTTGAGAATGTTATATTTGCTTCTTCTTGATCTACATTTACAGTACCATATAATAAACGAACTGAAAATATCCGAATTGATAATATGATTTTTTTTTATTTAAAATGAAATGAAGTTACGTTTTTTTTGAACAGGTGATTTATCATCACTGCTGATGATATTTGATGATTTTTCTCCTGACATACCTAAGAGAAATTAAAGAAGTTTTTTTATTTTTTTAATTTATTTACGAGCAAAGAAGATTTGTTATTTAATTAAGTATTTGTTTATATTTGAAATTCTGTAATAATTAATTTTACTTTAGAAGAAAATCTTTCGTATAAAAGTTATTCTTTATCAATGAATATGAAACTTTGAGAATGTAATCTAATATGAAATAGTGTGAAAATACTTCTTTTTCAACTTTAGAATTAGAAATATCTATTAATTAAATGAATCAATTTTTACTTGAATTTTTTAATTTGTTTATTTTGAAATATAATAAATAAATAAATAAATATATGTATAAAAAATAAAAAAAAATATTGTTGTCGTTGAATAATTTATTTGCTTGATGAATTCTTAAGAAAAAAAATAAAAATAAAATCGTTTTATATTGGTTTATGCATAAATTATTACACTTAGTTGATGGTGAAAGTTTTTAAAGCTTGTAATAAATCAGATTTTTTTGTTGTTTTGTTTATGATTAAATAATTATATCAAAAAAATGCTTTATTTTATTGGTTGGATAAATAAGAGAAAAGACAAACTGTTTTACTTTGACTATATAAAGTTTAGTCGATTGATTCTCTATTGTCTATTCTTTCACTTTGTTTGATAAATGAATAAAACCGAAAAATAGGTCAATATTCGTTTGTTAAGATTGCATTTATATATTTAATTGTATAGATCAACAGATAACATATTTAAAAAATGTCTTATTTTTATTTTATAACAAAGATATTATGAAAGGAAAATTTCAATCTAAACCGAAGAAATATTTTCTTTCAAATGAATTTCTCTATTCAAATCGATGAAATAATTCTACTAAACGTATATATCATTATTTATATTAATTTAATCTCTATGAGTTGTGATTATCATACGAATTTTTTCATACAATTTAAAAGCATGTCAAGATATTTTTTTTTCTTATTGATAATATAGACAGTTATTCCCTATGAATTATCAAAAATCAAATCTCTTTTTCATCATACATATGACAATTATGTAACGAACATTTTTATTATTACATATGTATTTTTATCCAAATATTTCAACAAAATAAATTGTTTTTCTTATGTCCTTGTAATAAAAAAACAATTTGTCGTTGATTTTGAAACATAATTTAAAAGACAAGTTGAGACACGAAGAAGAATTTAGTCGTATATTTACATTGATGAATGCACTCGGAAAGAAAAAAAGATATGGAAAGAGAGAAGAAGAGAAAAGAAACGTCTAGAATAGAATGTATTCCTATTATCTAACATACTGTTCGTTATTACTATGGATAAATAATATTAATCTATTTATCGAATAGAAAACATATTGAAAATAATTTATCTTTTTATAACAATATATAACGCATGAAATTATTTTCGAGATACTTCAGTTTATATAACTTCTTTCATCGATCATATTCTTAGTTAACGAAATACGTTAGAGTCAATCAATCGATTAAAACAAAATCTTATTGTGATCGATGTTTGGAAAGTGAATGTGTTCTCATCTCTCATTGTTTTTTTATATCAATTATGGAATTATTATAACTAGGGAAATAAATATATCTTTATAAATTATAGATTGTTTTAAGACAAAATCGATATTAATTCATAACCTCAAAATTGGTAAAGAAAAATTGGTGGTGATTAATCACGATATATCGAAACAATAATTGCGCGTTTAAAGCCGATAAATTGTCGATTTTTTAAAATTGTTTTAACGATTTTTCTGGTAAATCGTGAGGTAATAGTCGATTTTTGTCCTTGATTATAACAATAATTTGTCTGATTTTACGCTTGTAAATTTAGTTTTCATAATTATATTCAGAACTTATTATTATTATTGCTTTGAAAAGAAAGAAACATTTTTATTTAAAAAATTAAATGCTTATATCATTCCGCATAAATAGAACATGTAATAAAAAGGAAAAAAAATAAGGTGGCATCCAATTTTTCATAGTTGAATCAGAATGCATTCGAAAAAAAAACGAAAAAAAGAGTAACAAATGCTCATGTATAATAATGAATATTCGAAATTCGATATCTCTTATAAAGTATCGCGCATATTTGGTTTTGTTCATAACTTAAAAATTTAAAAGAGAGAGCATGAGTAAAATGTGACTGATGAAAAAATTCTTTAAAAAAAATACCGCCAAAGTCAGACCATTTATGTGTTTCAAAAAAAACCAGTCACAACCGTGATACATAATATTGAACTGACAATAGGAACAACTGCAGTTAGACTTCCAAAAAGTTACCTCGAACCGCGGTTCTCTCTGTTGCCACCGTGATATTATCTATCGCAGTTTTGACCGATTTTTGAGAAACGCATAAATGATATGATTTTCGCGGTTTCTTCAAATCGCGATTCTTTTTGAAAATTTTTTCAATATAGGTGACGAACAAACAGAAAACTATCTATGATGTTTAGGATAGAAGACATCATCATATAAAAACTTTTCAACTTTACATTAATCGCAGATACATTTAATTATTTAAAACTAAATCTAAAACGAAAAGAATTCGAATTAAAAAACATACTCGAACTAAAGATGTATTTAAAATAAATTATCATCTATCATCAAAAGAAATAGATTAAAAGAAAATAAATGTCAACAGGAAGTCTAATTTGATTTAAGTATGCACCAATAGTGATGCATCGTATCACCGATCCACCAGGTGATACGATGCACTGACTCATTTTTAACTAATAACTAATCCTAGTAATAGATCCCTAAACATAATTATTCTATATCAGTGTAAAGGAAAACATGTTAGTGAAATATAGTTGTAACATGCTTTTCTATATACCTAATGATTTTAACAATTTTCAACAATTTGCTGATGGTTGATGACAGTTTACTCTAGAAGATCCCGACCGATGCGTCGAGCGCAAACGATACACCGTATCACCGGTGCACCGACGGTACGTTAATACCAGTAGACAATGCACTATTCGATCATCGTCATCGTTGCATTCATACAGTTTAAATGTCTTTTAAATTTATCCAATCTTGTTCATTTCATAGTAATGACGTCCATAGTAGAACTAAATCTGTCTTAAGATTTCAAATCTCTATGATTATGTTAAAAATAACCTAGAAATCCTACTTGACTCTCAATTTTACAAATTTTTCAATATTTCTTTAATTAATTCATACTTCGCAATTCATTGGCCAAAATTAGTGATTAAATATGATTCATCATTCTTAATTTTCATCGATTTTCTTAACGCTAAACTATAGAAATTTTATTTATACTTAATCAACTAAAAAAAATATTTTTTTTAATCTTTATCATAATTAAAATATGAATTTTTTCCTTTATAAATTCTAATTATAAGTAAGATACAATATCTTAGAGGTTTCCATCAAAAAATATCTAGAAAAGTGTTATTAGTGTATCTATTAAATTCGTTGGAATAAAATAAAAGTCATTTGAGATTTTGTTAAAATTGTTTTATTAACATTTGCATTTTTTTTTCAACGTGTTTAATCATTAATAAAAATAAAAATTGTCCAAATATTAAATTCGATTTTTCACATATGAAGTCTGTATTATTTATTAGATATATTTGATGATATTATATTTAAGAGAAACTCTTAAGCAGAAACAGTTTTTTTTTTTTTAAGACAAGATTTTTTGACTAGAAGAAAAGAAAAGAAAAATAAATAGAAACGTGTATATCTACGATGCATTGGTCTTGCATATAGATTTCCATTCAATCAAAATCATTTTCTTCAATGACATATTGTTGGACTACAGACCTAAGTAACAGCAATATCTCCATTCTGGGAATATCGGATTCGTTCTATACTTCATCAAAAGTTCAATTGTTAAATTTATATAAATATAGATCGTCTTCTGTTTATTTCAGCATAATAAAACTCAACAAAACCGTTTATTTTATCATTGCTATTAAACAATAGAGCCAAAATTATGTCTCTAATGTATATTATGACGAAGTACATGTAGAGAAATTTTCAGATCTTCAGCAGCTATTGTGGCTGAGATCAGCTAAGAAAAGACCATTATCGTCTACTGTTGATTTTCGTAATTGTATATATATCCTTTCTTCATTTGTTTTTATATCAAAAATTGAATAAACGACAAGATACTGAGAAGGAAAAAAAAATCTCGACGAACATTTCCTCCTATTCGTTTATGATGAACTTTCTCGTCAATTTGGCTCATTTAAAGAGAAAAATATTTTCGTCATACATAATCTAATCGACTTAAAAATAGCATATATTTCAATTTAATCATTCAACATTCTATAGCACAACTCATGTTCTGCTCTTTCTTTATATAAAAAAAAATGAATTTTATGTAAAAAATATAGGTTTATTATTGAAATTTCATCTTATTCATAAAGATGAATTATTTTCATTTTTATCTATTAATTGAGATTATTCAATTATACGTAAGTTATAATATCGAATGTTTTAATAAAATCTTTTTCATTGATTTAATTATGAAAAAAATAATTTATTATTAAATAATAATAATAATAATATACTTGTAGAAACCATTTTTAATATTAATTTGTTTTCATTGAGTATTTATCGAGAATTAAACAAAATAATTTTTATTTTTACAATTTTCCCTAGAAAAAATGGTACTTATTCAGATCAACGATACCCCCACCCTATTGGTCGTGTGAATAAAAGGGAAAGAAAAAAAAATTTATTGGTTAATCTTTTTTATCCATGAGTCTCATAGAACGAGAGATGGCGTATATTTCTAAACTAACAGGAATGATGAAGTAAAAGAACTGATTCAAGTAAGTTTTTGAAGATCTTTATTGAAAAATAAATTACTGGAAAAAATATTAACAAAAATACTAGTGATGTAAGTTAATCTAGAATGAAAAGCAAAACTTACAGAAACAAAATTATTAATCAAAAGTAAATAAAGAAGTTAAAGAAAAAAAAGACCAAATATTTAGTTATACCAGGATGCGGGTGGAAGCAGGGATGTGGCGACCACGGGGTGTGGGGTGATGCGCACCACCCCAACTTTTAAAAATTCTGTAAATACATCCTCCCACGTTCAAAAATTTCCAGAATACACCCTGAATTCTTGAAAAAATTTCTTTTGCACCACCCCATTTTTTTCCTCTTCGCCACATCCCTGGGTGGAAGATATGAATGATTTAGTTACAACAACCAAAATTCACGCACCCAAGTTCACGCTGCACCCACGTCCTCACGGACACTCTGGTATAACTAAATATTTGGTCATTTTTTTCTTTAACTTCTTTATATTTATTTACTTTTGATTAATAATTTTGTTTCTGTAAGTTTTGCTTTTCATTCTAGATTAACTTACATCACTAGTATTTTTGTTAATATTTTTTTCAGTAATTTATTTTTCAATAAAGATCTTCAAAAAGTTACTTGAATCAGTTCTTTTACTTCATCATTCCTATTAGTTTAGAAATATACGCCATCTCTCGTTCTATGAGACTCATGGATAAAAAAGATTAACCAATAAATTTTTTTTTCTTTCCCTTTTATTCACACGACCAATAGTAGTCAGCGGACAAATCAGGATGAGTCATCGAATCAATAGCAAATTTCGAGCACACTAATGCACTTAGTACTGCACCATTTGTGCCAATTTTTAGAAGGTTTTTCTTGGTGTCATTTTGTTCCTAAAAATGAGCTAGACCTTCTAGTAATTAGATTTCTCGGCCTAGGAGCCGTTTCCGAGAAAATCGAAGTTTTCTGTAGACCAATCGTGAATCAACCAATCAGAATGTTCTATAGCTGATGAGAGCTACGCTTTTTCGGCTATTTACAGGTGTGTGCCATTTGTTTTTGGAAAAATAAAATCACGGTTAGATTCAGTGTATTTTTCTCTATCGATTAGGTTACTTTAAAAGTTCGGCCCATTCTATCTATTTCAGAGGACGCCATAGGTAGTGCATTTGATATTGATTTGCTTAAGATGTGCTCTTTTTCTGCTCTGTCCGTTGACAATAGGGTGGGGGTGTCGTTGATTTGAATAAGTACCGAAAAAATCAAGTAACACTATCTTGGATAGAGAGTGAAGAAAGGTTTTCTGCCTTGCGACTGTTCCTCTCTTCCTCATATCCTAGACGTAAAGTTGACTGAATAGAGATCTCGATGAAATACTTGAATTACTGTAAAAACCTCGAAAAGAAAAATCTCGAAAAATAGTTCTCGAAAGATAAAATTTCGAAAGAAGAAAATCTCGAAAGTGAAAATCCAGAAATTTGAAATGTTGAAAAATTACGATTTCGAACGGTTGAAATTTCGAAAATCGAATCTCGAAAGATATCATTGTATTTTGCAGTCACTTCTAGAATTTCTGTAGTGTAGAAGTTGAAAACTCACTTGCACTCGACCCATTATTTATCACTATTCAATTATTCCACTACTCAACCTTTCAACTCTTCGACTACTCAGTCATTCGGTTAGTCTCCTCCTTCATCACCCTCATTGCCTTCTCCCTATCTCTTTCCCAGCCTCATATTGACCCATTATCTTTCTCCCCTATCACCCTCAAATTGACTCCTTCTCTCTGCCCCTCACCCTCACGTTGACTTCCGTCTCTCTTTCTCCCACCCTCACAGTGGCTGCCTTTCATCTTTCTCTTCACCTGACCATCATGTTGACTTCTCGCTTCTCTCCCCTCACCTTGGCATAATCTCCTGCGAATATTTGAATAAGCGAATACTCGGTTGAAAAGTCAAAACTAATTTGTGACTTCTACATGTATGATCTCACATTGCAATTAATTCGAGATTTTTTTCCAGATTTACTTTTTTCGATTTACATTTTTTCGTAATACCGATTTTTCGAAATTCTGTTTCGTGATTTTTTTTCGAGATTCTTTTTTTTGAGCTTTTCACACATTACCGAATACTTTGTATCATATTGTAATATGAAGAAATAGTTATAGAATTGAAACTCTATTATGATGATTGATTCCATTATAGTCTTAGATAGATTGTTATATATGAAGAGAAAGAAGATGGCATATTATGAAATATATAATATCTAAGGTAAAAGTTCTCACATCATTGTATAAATATGTTCTTCTAGCAGTTTAAGGGTAGCGCCTCTCTTTGTTTTAGTTTTTCATGTTCGTCGAAAAAATTCGAGGAAAAACGAAAGAAATAAAAAAGACAATTTTTTTTTAATATTTGGATTGAATATCTCAAATAGAAATTTCTATTTTTTTTTAGATAAAAATGATAAGTAAATTGGAAATATTTCCAAATGAAATCTTTATAAATATCTTTTCCTATTTATCATGGGATGAACTCTTAATATCATTATGGTCATTAAATAAACGTATTAATTCTCTTATTTGTTTTATATATTCAATGAAGAATAATGGAATTGTTTTAAATGATTTAAGTTTAACTTATAAAAAATTTTCTAAAATATTATTACCATTAATATTAAATTCATCATCACTTTCTTCTAATATACAACATATTTATGTTAATGGAATTAATTCAATTTCTTTTGATTTTATTTATCAAAAGATTTTTTATGATGATAATAATAATAATAAAGAAAAAATTCCTTTTCCTAATCTTAAATCTCTTTATATAGCTCAATGTTTATTATCTGAACGATTAATAGAAACATTATCTTTTCTTATCCAATATAGATTAAATCAACTTACATTATCTTTTCATAAAGAAGCTTACGTGAATTTTGATTATGGACAAGAACTTTCAACAACCATTTCTAATAGAGGTAAACAACAAATATTTTCTAAACTAAACAAGATTTAAATTGTTCGTCCTGTCTAATGATGCACAAAAATGAAGATAAGTCACTCTTAGAGAAGTACACAGAGCAGCAACAAACTTCTTTATGTTAATAAATAATTTTCTTCGATTTTTTTCTGTTTTTGAAAAACTTTCTAATCTTAATCTTAATGAGCAATAAGATTGATTATATGACGTTTTCTATATTTAATGTGGTAGTTGATAGCAGAGGTGCACAATCTACCTGTGTGCGCCAACGCGCGTTGGGGGAAATTTTCGAAAAGTTTTCCCTCGTTGGGGGAAATTTTTCATTTTTAGTGGAGATTTTGCACCTCTGGTTGATAATTTATACTAATAGATGGTAAGACTATTGCAAATATGATCTAGTTAAATGAATGAACATAAATAAAAATCATTATTTTGAAAAGTTGAATAAAAAAAAAAAGAATTTTCTTCGAAATAATATCAGTACTAATTGATTTTGTCTTTTTTTTATAATTGAATAGAAAAAAAGATAAATATGTATCGACAAATTTTATGTCAAATATTCTCTGATCGATGTCAATTAACTTTTCTTCAACTTGATATTAACAAATTTTATTCAATTCATCAATGTTTAAAAACGAGACAGTCTCATCTTCCATTAAACACAGTTCTAGATGGATATAAATCTTATTGTATAACTCTACGTGATTTGTATATTCGTCTCGATTACACATGCTTTCTTGAAGATCTCATTGAATATGTACCAAATCTTGAACAATTATCAGTTGATTTAGAAAATTTGAAACGTGATAATGAATCTTATGATGAAAATATTCAAAGTCCGATCTTAACAGATGGAAATTGGTTTAATAAAGTAAGATGAATATTATATTATTTCATTCGTTTATTGTATAAGAAAAATTCTTTGGTTAAATCTAATGTCGTAGGTAAATGTTAATGTATATAAAAGATTTTTAAAACAACCAATAACTGAGTCAATAAGGATAAATAAATGATTTGAAAAATTAAATTAAATACTTTCCAATAAAAATGCTTGTTGATATTGAAACATATTTTATTAGAATTCAATATGATCTCGATTTCTGAAGGTGAATTTATCGTTTTTTTGATTAATATCTTCGAAGTTATGAAAAAGTTGTAGATTATCGAATTCAGTTGAGAGGGAAAAAAACGATGTTTCATTTCATTTCTAGCAAAATATAAGGTAGTATTCAACACCAAATTACATATGGTAAAATATGATTAAAGGATAAGTGAAATTACACATTTGTCCTTTGATTCGAAAAGAATCGACTTTTTTTCTTTTCTCAATCATCATCTTGTACAGATATATGTTAATGTAATATAGTTTGTGTCAGAGATCAACATGGATGAAATTTTTTCTGATCTGATCCAAGGTCGAAAATTTCTTTTAATGATCCGGTCCGGGTCAGAGGCGAAGTTAGGTAGGGTGTCTAAAGAACCTGAGCATCCTCCATAGGGAAAATGTATGGAGAAGAGTACAGCACTATAGAATTGTTTGCAGGGTCAAAGATTTTGTTTTTGTGGGTGCCACTCCTCTTAGGAAAATTCCTGGCTATGCCCCTGGGTGGGAGAGGCCCTTGTTAGAGAGACTCACTTTCAGTAAAAATCGATCGGTCGTTCAACCAAGTGCTCATATAAACGAAGTGTTCTTGTTAGAGATATGCCTATATATAGAAGTTTTACTGGAGTTAGATTATTTTCAATATGTTTTGTTGTTGTAATTGATTATTTATAATATAGGTACCAAAATTGAAATTTTTTACCTTGAAGAGCTTTGTTTACAATGATTTGGAATTTGCTTATTTAAAATGGCTTCTTAACAACATTTATCATGTTATAAAACTTGAAATTCATTTATACAATATTAGTATATGGAGAAAAGATAAGAGAATACGGAAATCTTTTATTGAAGCAAATTTTATTCGTCAATATTGTTTGCCTGATAAAGTAATTAATTTAAGAGATTTTTATTTTTATATTCGTGCAGAATGTCAATTATCATTAAATGATATCGAGAAAATAATAAATTCATTTAAAATTGATTCATTTTTTATTTCACATCAATGGACAAATGTTAAATGTTTTTATGATGAATGTCTATCATATCAACATATTTTTTCTTCAAATCTCAACAAATTTCAATATTGCGATCTTTTAAAGTAAAATATGTTATTTATGAAAAGTTAATTTTTTTATTTATTTTTTTTATTCAGTAATTATCCATGTGTATATGATTGGTCACCTACTACTAAAGATATTAGAATTGATTTAGATTCATCAGTTTATTTATTTCTTGAACAATTTGATAAATTATGTCCTAATGTTTCTGATATCACAATTAATCCAGGTAAAGATTGTTTTTGTTTTTTTCAAATTCATATATTTTACTAGGAAAGACAGAGATGAACAAGTAGATTTAACTTGGAAGTTTATATTGTAGTTTTGGACTGGAGAAATTTGCTAATGATTGAGGATACAATGTGAGAGAAAGATTGTTAAAGAAGTTAACAGGATTGAATAGGTATATTCTCATGGCAGTCGGAGATAAGAAGTGCGTTTGCCAACAATTATAGTGGAGAAACATAATATGAAATCGAACTCAGATTATAATTGGAAAGGTAGCACCATCTGTAAGAGCATTATCACATCTCGAGTATTTTGCTCTCAAAGGAGTTGTCTTGACAATTTTCAATAGTTTTGTGATACACGAACTAAAAGGATTATTGAAGTATAGAGATGAAAATTTGTAGCCATATTCCATAGATTATGATAGACAAAACTTCAAAGATGAAATTTATTGTATATGGTAAAACCAACAAGAATTCATGTGTTTGAAATCGTATGGAAAAGATCTTTTCATAATGAATCGAAAAGAATATCGACGATATATAGTATTGATTTAAATCGATTTGATAAAATCATATCTCTATCAATAGAAATAGTTATTTCGTGTTTCACATTTCAATCCTAGATAGAATGTGCTAACAGCTTCTCTGAATGATTTCAGAAAAAAATTATAATCAATGAATATACTTCAATTGATTCTCTTTTACTGTGAACGTCATCTGACTGAGAGTTATAATCACGAGTAGATGTTTTTTTAATAGACGTTTTAATCATTGATTTTAAAATTCGTGGACAAATGCCACAACAAAAAAATTTGATTATTTTTTGTAAATAAAGTTTTTCCACGAAACCCCTATATCATTCATTTAGTAATATTGGCTTTGTTACAATTGCTTTAATCAATTATCTGAATTTTCTCAGAAACAGAACAATCGATTGTAAAGAATTTAATAATGATGGAAATAAAGGCAATGTGAGAATTTTGAATACATAGATTAATGTACTTTTTTACTAATATTACAATGAAAATTTCATCGTTAAGATGATTAACTTTAATTGTCATATTAGTTCATTTCTGTATACAAGTTCAGAAATATCTCGGGTGTGGAGGAATCGGAAGATGACCTCTCAATCTTTGAAAATTTCTTCTTTTTTTTACTCGATGACATTTAGATTCTTTTATATATAGATTTAACAATAGAGTTTAATCAATATTAACAAAATTGTATGTAACATATCTGTATATACAGAAAACACAAATTGATTGAAAAATTTTTTTTTGATTATCTTGATTTTAGTGAAGTCTGATAGAAAAAAAGAAGTCAAATAATAATTATTAGAAATGAATAAATTTACTTTTTTTGCAGGAAATTACAAAAACAAATCGGAGATGTTGGCATCATTGACAGAATTATTCGTCATACAAAAACGAAATCTGAATAATATTCATTTTCGAAATGTTACAAAACTTCGATTTGGAAGTAGTTATAGTCGTACAATAGGTATGTACACATTTTTCTTTTTTTGCAAAATTGATACAGTTATAGCAAAATCTTTTCTTTTTTCATCTTTGATATTCTTGAATCGTTCAAATTCATTATACAGTAAAACATATTATCAGAACCATGGAAAAGTGTTCACGAAATGGTGATGTCCGTTTTAGAAAGTTGAGTCATATTGTCTATCTTGAAGATGAAGATGAGGATGAGATTACAAGCATATCCTCAGGATAGCTAACACTACTAGAACAATTAGAAGAGCTTGCTCATAATTTTAAAACTACTATTCGCTCTTTGTGTTTGTGGAATTTATTTGTTTGAATTACTATTTTACTCTAATATTAGGATTTTAATAGAAGTTATGTTTTCTCCTTTACATTTCAAAGTGTGAGGTTCTATTTTAAGAAAAAGTTTTATTATTGTATAACAAAATTTTCGAACCGCCCCGATAAGATCATTCTCTAGTGATGATAAATGATTACTATCGAAATGCAAATGTAAATGTGCTTTTTTCTCCCATTGTGTCAAACTGAATTTTTATTCATATTAATGTTTTATAAAACATTCAAAAACAAAATTTATTTTCTAGACCCTTGTTATCAATTTATAGAAGAAGACGAAGCACTTGCAATAGTATTTTCTAGTATTATTTCGATGACTGTACAACTGAAATATATTTTTATTGGCAGATTTGAATGGTTCTTATATATTATACGATATGTAAGTATTAATTTTATTTCGAGTTTTCAAATATATTTTTAAAATTTACGATTCTTTTTTGTAAATTTTAATGTATGTATTAAAATCCAACAATTCAATAAGAAAATTGTTTGAAAATTATCTTTTTTTTCATATCATTTTTAGGCTTGTAATATCTCGTTAAAAAATGCATTACGTACTATTCGTCATGCTGAATTTCGTATTTCAAGTTGCAATGTTGGTTATGATGAATCAGTTCATATCGGAAAATATCTTGTACCACTTCTTAGTACTTATATGCCTCATTTACAGACATTATGTCTTTGGAGACCGGATGATTTTCCTTGGACATCGAGTAAGTTTATTCTGCTAAACAAAATATAATTAATTCGAACTAGTTATTAAAGAAAAAGATTTTTATTTTATTTCTCACTTTTCAAGACAATTAGAAACCCAGAATCTGACAGACTAACAGCAAATTATGACTTTAATTTGATACGATTACTGTTAAAATTTGATGAGAAATATGTAAGATACGATGATAGTCAGTGAATAATAATAATCGAAGAATTATACCATTTAGATGTTTATTAAGTTCAGATTAAGAAATTTCATCGAGAATATTATGAATATGAACCGAATAAGAGTTTAAGTTCAAAACTTTTGGATCCGTGAGGCTCTAATCCTTAATTGTCTTAGATCATGGTTTGTAAAAATAGAAGAAAGCTTTTTGTGTATACGTTGACTATTAACCTTTGATCTTGATTATTAGAGTTTCGAGAGAAGTCGTGAAAATCTCATCTTAACGGGGAGGTCCCCCTTCCATGACATATCTTCAAAATATGTCAGTTTGTAGAGAATACCTCCAAATACTAGAATATCACAATGTCTTTTGGGTTTGATCAGATTATAATTGTAATATGAAAGATGGAAAGTTCATAAAAATCGAATTTTTCGCATTAAATTGTAATAGTAGCAAAAAGTAGCACAAAGTACCTCTTACCGAGTCCCATTTTTTGTTTACTCAAAAAGTGAGTATTGTGTACTCAACAAGTGAGTACACTCTACAATCGGTCAGTGTGTCCGGCCGTCCGTTTACACGATAACTTTTGAAAGAAGAGTCCGATCGCGATGAAATTTTCTACACAATTTTGTCTCAACAATATCTGTGTCGAGAGTAGAAGATGAGAATGATTGGCCGAGCCATTGCTGAGTTATTGGAAAAATAGTCATTTTTCCGTATGCTTCCCTTTGAGAAGATCGATCTTTCTCTGTTTTCCTTAAAAACTTTTCGTATCATAGTCAATTAAAACCTCAACTATAATATACCATTCGATAGAGAATTTCACGAGCTACAAAATGGTATATAAAACATAAAGAGATAAGAAGACTAACTCACCTATTGCAAAGATAATTAAACGAGAATTGGTTCTGTTTGTGGCCACACTCTAATTCATCGACAATTAGAGCTCTGTCTTTCGATCAAAGAGATGATAGCTCGAGGTTTTCTAGAGCGGAGAACTCGAATCTGTACTCCTCTTGCCTCGAAATTCCATTGGTTGAGCAGTAACCAATAGAAGTCAAGCGTATTATAGAAAAGGTTTGCCACGATAACTTTGATGTACACACATTCTAGGATGACTCATCTGTCCCATTCACTTTTTGGAGTACATATAACTCTCGGACTTAAATCCGAAGTTTCCGCATTTATTTCTAGTTACACATAGTATTAATAACAAAATGATCCTTTATTGTTTTTTAAAGAAAAACAAACAGATTTTAATGCTAAAATACCGATATTTTCAGTAATTTTTGCACGCTTTAATTCATAGTAAAACCACTTGTTCAGTATTTTTTGAATGTTTCTTCAAGACAACGTCCAATTGGCTTGTAACTTGGAGACAATATACCTAATAGGTAGCCACTTGTACACACAAAGTTTCATTGAAAAATAATATTATTAAGAGGTACAACCGAATGTTCTAAAAACACCTCTACTTTGTATGGTATGTGGGTTTCGTCCTCAGAAGCATATTGAAGGCTCCGCGTCTAGCAAAACGGCATTTTTTCTAAAAGAAAAATATGTCACCTCGTACAGGTAAGCACAGTGAACAAGTTTTTACGAGCCAAAATTTTTCGAGACGTGCTTTTAAAAAATGGGACTCGGTAAGAGGTACTTTGTGCTACTATTACAATTTAATGCGAAAAATTCGATTTTTATGAACTTTCCATCTTTCATATTACAATTATAATATGATCAAACCCAAAAGATATTGTGATATTCTAGTATTTGGAGGTATTCTCTACAAACTGGCACAATTTGAAGATATGTTATGGAAGGGGGACCTCCCCGTTAAGATGAGATTTTCACGACGTCTCTCCAACCTCCAATAATCA